TACTACGATCGATGCTCCTGTTGAGCCTACTACTATCATGACGTCCCCTCAACCGGTCAGTACGCCCGCTGAGATCGATGAGGTGGCTGTCACTACTGCAGCCCCTGTGACTGGCGAAGTGACCATCAGCACGGCAGCTGGGGAGGCTCCCGGTAGAGACAAGGATGACTCTGATGCTACCACCCCGGTCGCTACGGAGGCTGCAACTGTCACGACTACGATCGGTGCTCCTGTTGAGCCTACTACTATCACGTCCCCTTTCCCGGTCAGCACAGCTGCTGTGACGGATGAGGTTGCTGTCACTACTGCAGCTCCTGTGACTGGCGAAGTGACCATCACCACGGCAGCTGGGGAAGCTCCCGGTAGAGACAAGGATGATTCTGATGCTACCACCCCGATCGCTACTGAGACTGCGACTGTGGCTACCACGATCAGTGCTTCTGTTGAGCCTACTACTATTATGACGTCCCCTCTACCGGTCAGCACAGCTGCTGTGACCGATGAGGTCGCTGTCACTACTGCGGCTCCTGTGACTGGCGAGGTGACTATCACCACGGCCGCTGGGGAAGCTCCGGGAAGGGACAAGGATGATTCTGATGCTACCACCCCGGTCGCTACTGAGACTGCGACTGCCACTAGGATCGATGCTCCTGTTGAGCCTACAACTGCTATCACGACCCCTCAACCGGTCAGCACAGCTGCTGTGACCGATGAGATTGTTGCTACTACTGCAGCCCCTGTGACTGGCGAGGTCACCATCACGACGGCAGCTGGGGAAGCTCCGGGAAGAGACAAGCATGATTCTGATGCTACCACCCTGGTCGCTACCGAGACTGCGGCTGGCACTACTACGATCGATGCTCCTGTTGAGCCTACTACTATCATGACGTCCCCTCAACCGGTCAGTACGCCCGCTGAGATCGATGAGGTGGCTGTCACTACTGCAGCCCCTGTGACTGGCGAAGTGACCATCAGCACGGCAGCTGGGGAGGCTCCCCGTAGAGACAGGATGACTCTGATGCTACCACCCC